GCAGCTGAGGCATCCCAGTCAGGGCTTTTTTTTTTTTTTTTTTTTTTTTTTTTTAAGTCGTAACTTGGGGCATCCTCTTCCTTCTAAATGCAGAAGATATTGGGTAACCCTCTGGGTGCTAGGTGTGTACAGAATCATTTTTGGCCTCATATTTAAGCTATCTCCTTTTAAAGTGTTAATGATGGAGGCAGGATGTGAGCTTTAACTTGAAGCTCTTTCATCTTTTCTGTTCTCAGGTAATAAATTCATGTGAAACAGGTAAACCTTACTAATGAGATATCTTTGCTGTCACAGGTGATTGAAGTGGGAACAAGTGATGACCTTGAGGACTCTAAGTCCATATGTGATGATACTGATGTAGAGGTTGCCTCTGAGGTACGATTCTCTAGTCTGAGATGGTGATGTTCCAACAGTTCACTGTGAAGAATGCTGTTCCCCCCATTTTCGTTTACCTTTCCTGGGTGTTAAGAGATGTTGGTTTCTTTACATTTTGTTAGAGGTTTTTATTAGAATTTGAGAAGAGATGAGTTGATCTATTCTTCTTACCTTGAAAGGGGATGACTTCAATGCCTCTCTGTGTGCCTTTCTCCCTGCCATAAAAACCTTTGGACACGATGCAGTGGGTCCAGTTATTCAGGACAGTACTGCACTGCTTTTCCCACTAACACCTCTGCAGTGCCAAGGATAGACTTAAAAGCTATCTAAAATTTTTTGTTGGTATAAAAATTATATTTTTAATGTTTTCTTAAAAAGAAATGGAAAGGCTGTTTCCACACAAGTTTATATTAATTGAGGGCTAATAAATGATTTAGTATTAAGCTTTTAGGTAATAGTTATGGATTTGTCACCAATTAACAACTAATGTTTAGACTCAAATGTGTTCCTTTTCTGTTTTCATGCTAGGTCCTCATTTTCCGTTTAGTGTTCCCCTCAGCTAACTCACTAGAAAAAAGAGGGGTGGTAAGGGAAGGATAAGGAGGTTGATTTTACTTTTCACTGCTTGAGGATAGGAAAAATTTTAGGTTGTCTCTGGTGTTGATCCCTCTCCCACTCCCACCCCACCACTGGTTGACCATTATGGTAATTCACTGCAAATTATCTGTGCATAGCTAGGTAATAAAGTGGAATATATTGATCCATTAAGTGTTCTTGACCGTAATACAGGTAGCAGGGTAAGTGTTTCCATCTTCATCAGACTTCTATGGCTATTTGGACCAAGAAAACCTATTAAGCAAATAGGCCGTATTTTATCAAATCAAAGATGACATTGACTTTAACAAACCCTATTATTTTATGTACTACTAGAAAAGAAAAGATGCCAATTAGACTATGAGACATCATCAGTTATGAATTCCAAATCTTTATGAAGTTCCTTTGAGTATTTGTGTAGTACTCATACGAGAGCTGAGGATCTTCAACTGGCACAAGAATGTTTTGAGGCTCTCTGGTGAACATCCCACTTTAACAAATGGTTGTGTCCCTGCTTCTTGGGCTTGGCATTGAGTTATAACTTCTAAACTTGAAGTGCTTGATTGATCTTCATTCTGAAAGCAGTCAAGTCAGTCAAATCATTGATCCTGTGAAAGCCAGGCTATGATCACATTAAATATCTGGACTTGTTCCAGGTAGCTACCTTTGAATTAAGCAAGTCACGTAAAATTTATTGAGCTCTAGAATCTCTTTTTTTAAAATTTTTAAATATATTTTATTGATTTTTTACAGAGAGGAAGGGAGAGGGATAGAGAGTTAGAAACATCGATGAGAGAGAAACATTGATCAGCTGCCTCCTGCACATCCCCTACTGGGGATGTGCCCGCAACCAAGGTACATGCCCTTGACTGGAATCGAACCTGGGACCTTTCAGTCCGCAGGCAGATGCTCTATCCACTGAGCCAAACCGGTCAGGGCTGAGCTCTAGTATCTCTTAATTTTAATATGGAGAACTAGGAAAAACTTAACTTGGCATTCAAGGACAAGAACATTTTTTTTTTTTAAGAACATTCGTTTTTTGAGGGTGTGATTTAGGCATACAGTTAGCTACCTAAGATCCTGAGAGCAGTGAGAAAGCATGAATAAATAAGTTAGTAGTTTCTAAATCATAATTGTAGCTTTTTTGCCAGATTTTATAACATTTCTTAAATAGTAGAAAAGAATGACAGTAGTATCTCTTCATTCTTTAGCCTCTCAACATAAGTGTTAGTTGTAAAAAGAGAAATGACCTAAAAAGAAAGCAGAAAAGCAAACAATGTAAATTCCATTCATACTAAAAAGCCAAAATAATTTAACTTTTAAAAAAGATTGCTATATTAAATTTTGGCTTGAATTGGCAGTTGTGTCACTATCAAAGTGGCTGTACAATGTATTTTAATTCTAGGCTAGACCTGTGGTGTGGACTGTCTGTGCTCTCATTAGCTTAGTGAAATGATGAGAGTTTGGCCCACACTCCCTTTTTCTCAGAGTCACGTTCCCCACTGAGTATTAATTGGCTGCACTTCCCTTTGTAGGATGAGTGGCAGTGTACTGAGTGCAAGAAATTTAACTCTCCAAGCAAGAGGTACTGTTTTCGGTGCTGGGCCTTACGGAAGGATTGGTATTCAGATTGTTCTAAGTTAACGCATTCTCTCTCCACGTCTGATATCACTGCCATACCCGAAGAGAAGGAAAATGAAGGAATTGATATCCCTGATTGCCGCAGAACCATATCAGCTCCAGTTGTTATACCTAAAGATACATATAAAAAAGAAGAAAACCCCAAACTCTTGGATCCCTGCAACTCTGTGGAGTTCTTGGATTTGGCCCACAGTTCTGAAAGTCAAGAGACTGTGTCAAGCATGGGAGAACAATCAGCTAACCTTTTCCAGCAGAGAACAGTGACAGGAAGCACGGAGGATTGCCGGAATCTGCTGAAGCCCTGCAGTGTATGTGAGAAAAGACCACGAGACGGGAACATTATTCATGGAAGGACGAGCCATCTTGTCACTTGTTTTCAGTGTGCCAGAAGATTAAAGAAGACTGGGGCTTCATGCCCTGCGTGCAAGAAAGAGATTCATTTGGTTATTAGGGTTTTTATAGCATAGCTGTGAATCGGTGAATTTTAACAATATTAACAAGGTCAGGTCATGTATTCAAAACGTCAGTCTTGAGCATCTTTGTTCAGTCTGACCCATTATTTATTCATGTAAACGTTGTGTTTCAGAACATTTTTGCTTGTAAATTGAGAATGAGTTCTTTAGAACTAGACTATTAATTTGGGGACTCAGCATAAAAAGATAAGTTAATCACTTCATCTCCCTTCAGAGCTGAGGATCTGGGCCCTGGTTGGTGTGGCTCAGTTGATTGGATGCCATCCTGTGCACCGAAGGATCTTGGGTTCAATTCCTGATCAGGACACATACCCAGGTGGCGGGTTCAATCCCTAGCTGGTGCGCATACACGAGGAAACCGGTCCTTATTTCTCTCCCACTTCTTTCTCTCTATAATCAATAATTAAAAAAAAAATCCTCACCCAGCCGGTGTAGCTCAGTGGTTGAGCTTCAACCCATGTACCAGGAGGTCACAATTCGATTCCTGGTTAGGGCACACGCCTGGGTTGTGGGCTCAACCCTTCTCATTATTGATATTTCTCTTTCTCCCTCTCCCTTCTGTCTGAGATCAATTAAAAAAATTTTTTTTAAATCTTTGGGTGAGGTTAAAAAAAAATTAGGGTCTAAGAATGAGCAACTATCAGTACAAACAAAAATATGTTCATTTATTTACTTACTTGAAAATTAACATTTCTTTAGTTAATTTTATTTTCTATTATTTTCTGTTCGGGAATGTTCATTTTTAATTCAATTACAGTTGACATTCAATATTATATTAGCTTCAGGTGTATGGCATAGTGGTTGCATATATAATTTATGAAGTGATCCATCCTTCCGTAAGTCTGGTACCCTCACTTGACACCATGTATACTTATTACAATATTATTGACTCTGTAACTTATGCTATACTTTACATCCTGTTAAGGAATGTTCTTAGGCATCTAAATCCGGTGGCTATTAGAAATATAGCAAAGCTAACAATGGGAAAAAATAATCTAATTAGTCAAGTTATATAGTGCTATAGATCACTTTATATGTTGGCAATCAGGCTGCATGGTTCAGAGAAGCCAAAAGACAAGTCTTAGAAAACAGATTTCTTCCATGTGTGCTGAGAATAATGCTATCAAACATTTTTTGCTAAGAGACCCCTAAAATAATTTTGCAAGTATATGTAATCTTTTGCACATTTTGAAAATTGAGGTATAACTAGTGAACAATAGTGTTCCCTTCTGTAGACATGTAACTACCCAAACCAAGCTCTAGAAGAACACCTGTCACCTTAGAATATTCCCTGTGCCCCTTTCCAAGACAGTCCTACCACTTCATGGCTCTCACCCTAGATTAGTTTTCCTTTTGGCACATGTTTCATTGGACATCTGAATTTTAAGAATAAATTTTTGCCCTAGCTGGTTAGGCTCTGGATAGAGAATTCGCCTGTGGACTGAAAGTTTCCCGGTTCGATTCTAGTCAAGGGTACATGCCTGGGTTGTGGCCTCAATCTCCAGTAGGGGGCATGCAGGAGGCAGCCAATCAATGATTCTCTCATCATTGATGGCTTCAATCTCTCCTTCTCCCTCTCTCTGAAATCAATAAAAGTATATTTAAATGTTTTAAGTACTTTCAGAGGACATACTATTCAGTACATTGTGTATGTGCTTTAAAGATTTTTATCAAAGACTTGGAGCTGCAGATGGAGTTGATGGAATTTGTAGAAAATGTTCTGTCATGTAAACGGGCAAAGCCTGTTCTCAAAGTTAATGAGCCAAATCAGACTTAACTTTCAGTCAAAAAATGTTTGACTTTTTAATTAAATTTATTAACATACACTTCTTTTTGGGGGGGGGGGAGTGAATTTTTTTTTAATTAATTTATTTTTTTTGTTTGTTTTTGTTTTTTTGCTTAAAGTATTACAAAGAGTATTACATATGTCTCCTTTTCCCCCCCCCGCCCTTGACAATCCCCTGGCCTCCCCTACCCCCCAGTGTCTTAGGTCCATTGGTTATGCTTTAACGTACACTTCTGGCACAACCTTCTCCATTACAGTTCCAAAATAGAAAGATAAGGCTAGAATTCTTATAGCTCTCTTTACTGTGCTCTGTCCTCTTTTGAGAGCTCTGAGTTTTTTGGTATGTTTTTTGTCCTTGTGTTGTTGGTTTTTTAGGGGCATTGTGAGGCAGTGCCCCATAGGAAAATTCTAGGTGTGTGAGAGGCAGTCTTTTGAAAATAGAGAGTGTGGTGATGGTGAAAAGGAAAGTATTAAAGGGAAGTGTTAGATCTGAACAGCCTTTATCTGAGCATATAAATCTTTGGACTGTACATATGGTAATTAAAAATCTTTAACTTGATTTTCTTATAGATATTCCCTATCTACTTTTCCCATGGAAAAAATCTTGGTCTATGCCCAGGGTTACCAGTATGTCAGTTTGAAGAGCAAGGCCTTAGAATTACCAAATGTAAGGATCTTAATAATCACCTACATGACTTGTTTTAAAAGTTGAGCTCACGCAAACACCTTCTCCCCGGTCCCCTTCCTCAAATCACAAACATACACACTGACCCTTTGGTCTGGGCCACGGATTGTTATTTGCACAGGTGTTCCTGGAAGCCGGCACAGTGGGCCGCAGACCACACTTTTGGAAGTCTTGCCCTTAAAGAGAGGGGTTTTGCAGGTATAGGCAGTAAAATGAGTTTCCTTTATTTAGCATCACATTTAATTTCTAGAGGATAAGTTTTGTAAAAGTTGGTGATTTTAAAAATGGGGGTTATACTCAACCTTTTTTATATGCACATGAGACCAAAGGTCGGAGGTCTACTAAAGTCACAGAGCCTGAACTAGAATTCAAGTCTAAACTAGCTTAAACCAGACTCGCAGTACATCTTTAAGCCATTATTGCTTTCTTCTCCTTATTTATTAAATATTTAAATGATGGTGCTTTGCTGAATTTGAAACAACTGATAACCTTAAAATACTAGAGGATATGACTTGGCAGCCAAAATTGGACTTTACAGAGAATAGTGGCTTTTAACCCTTTTTCCCACGCGAGAGAAGGCCCAGGAAATGTCAGGCTTTCTTATATAATCAGATGAATTATTCCTCCCATTGGGAGGACAAGGAAAGGTGTCAGAGGAACCTGAAGCATTTTCTCCAGAATTGTTCCTTCTAGGCGAATGCTGCTCAAAAGTCTGCCTCTAGGCGTTTAGGGACGGACACATACACACACACACACACACACACACACACACACACATACATGCAATAAGTGGAACTAATCCTCAGTTTAATATGTTGTTAGGCTATGGTAAAGGTTCTAAAACTGGAGAGAGAGAAATTACTTTCCTCCCTATTTTCCCCCCAATACGCCTCTCTTCATGTTAGTTTAACGGCCCTCAGTTTTACTCTTTCCAGTCGAATGTTTTTGCAAGTGATAACTTAAGAGGCAGGGAGGATTGGGAATCCTGTTATTCTCCTTATGTTAAGTTTCAGTATTTTAGAAAACTTTAAAAAATTGTAAAATATGACTTGTGTTTGTAGATAGTCGATGCTAATTTTGGTACACCCTTGCACAGAATCCTCCGGTGATCCTCCATTTTCCTCCTCTTCCCCTTTGTTCACCTGGGTTTTCACTGTTCCCATTAGTACTGAGTACTTTGCTTAGAAGATCCTTGAGCTGTGTGTTTGAGCTGAAAATATAATAAGCCTACACTCGGGCTCACTGTGCCTTTATGGACCCTTTTGAGCCACTGAAAGTAATACAGAGAAGTGTATCTGCAGTATTTCTTGGTACCATATCTGAAATCCAAGATGCTGCTTCTGCACTTGGTTTTTCCTTTACCCGGGATCCCTACTCAATGTCTTCTGGGAGTGTAGCACAAGAAGCAGAATTCCTTATTTCTTGAGGGCAGAATGGTGCAGTCAGCAGTTCCTCAGGTGCAGAAACTAAACCATCTTCATCTGTTTCCGATACTGTTCTTTTTTCGGTGCCACTGCATTACAGGTACATTTTTTTTTTTTTAATTTTTCGCTAAAAGTATTACAGAGGGTATTACATAAGTGTCCTCCCCCCCCCCCCCACCCTTGACAAGCCCCTGCCCTCCCTTACCCCCCAGTGTCTTATGTCCATTAGTTATGGTTATATGGATGCATACAAGTCCTTCGGTTGATCTCTTACTCCCCTCCCTCCTGTCCCCCAACCCTCCCTGGCCTTCCCACTGCAGTTCGACAATCAGTTTGAGGCAGCTCTGCCACTGTATTTATTATTGTTCGAAAGTTTGTAATGGTCTTAATTATCCACGATAGAGTGAGATCATGTGGTATTTTTCCTTCATTGACTGGCTTGTTTCACTTAGCATAATGCTCTCCAGTTCCATCCATGCTGTTGCAAATGGTAAGAGTTCCTTCTTTTTAACAGCCGCATAGTATTCCATCGTGTAGATGTACCACAGTTTTCTAATCCATTCATCTACTGATGGGCACTTAGGCTGTTTCCAGATCTTAGCTATGGTGAATTGTGCTGCTATGAACATCTGGGTGCATATATCCTTTCTGATTGGTGTTTCTGGTTTCTTGGGATATATTCCTAGAAGTGGGATCACAGGGTCAAATGGGAGTTCCATTTCCAATTTTTTGAGGAACCTCCATACTGCCTTCCATAGTGGTTGCACCAGTCTGCATTCCCACCAGCAGTGCACAAGTGTTCCTTTTTCTCCACATCCTCTCCAGCACTTGTCGTTTGTTGATTTGTTGATGATGGCCATTCTGACAGGTGTGAGATGGTACCTCATTGTTGTTTTGATTTGCATCTCTCGGATGATTAGTGACTTTGAGCATGTTTTCATATGTCTCTTGGCTTTCTGAATGTCCTCTTTTGAAAGGTGTCTATTTAGATCCTTTGCCCATTTTTTGATTGGATTGTTTATCTTCTTTTTGTTAAGTTGTATGAGTTCCCTATAAATTTTGGAGATTAAGCCCTTATCAGATATGACGTTGGCAAATATGTTTTCCCACGAGGTGGGTTTTCTTGTTGTTTTGTTGATGGTTTCTTTTGCTGTGTACAGGTACATTTTACTCAGTGTCACTAAAGCAAGCATTTGTAGATGCAGTCTTTGCTGTTTGCTACTGTGTGATATATTCTTGACTTCCAAACACTACCATTTGTCTGTCCTTACAATGATCATATGCTCTGAGTTGTTGGAAACGTGCCAGTTTACTCCCCATTTTTGAGCATGCTATCTTCATCTCTCCCCTTTCACTCAGATGTCTTCATTGGGATGTTAAATTATATGGTCTCTGTATAGGCCATGCTTGAGTTGAAATCCTGATTGAGAGGAAAGAGCCTGTTGAAGTAGGTGTCAGTGGAGTTTATGGTATCTGTTGTATTGCGCCTTAGACTTGTGATTAATGAAATCATCCCCCATTAGCAGCACATTTCTTGTTTTTGTTATTTAAATTAATATTTATGATCATGTTATCCTGGACAAAAAGTTCAGAGCATCAATGACAAATCCTTACAAAAGCAAAGCAAATTTCTAGATTATAGTTAAAGATGTCTCCCACCCTTTAATATTAACTCATTATACTTGCACTGCACTTATATTTGATTTGCTTCTGTACTTGCTACTTAAATCAGACTTTATTAAAATATCAGACCAAGCCTTTAAAATAATAACCATTTCTCCACAGTCCATCTATGGAATAGCATAGCTTCCCAATCCAAGCTTGAATAATGGATTGGCGGTCCAGCCATGCTAGCCTGCAACCCGCCATGAACTTTTCTAATGTAAAATGGAATCACTGCCAAGCATTTGAAATATGCAGTTGTGTTTTAATAATGTATATGTATTTAGATGTGTATAATGCTTTAGGGACATTATTTTGTTTGTAAGAATTTATTTTTAAAGGTAATGATCGTTTGTAGCTTTTAAAATGCCAGTTCAATGCACTGTTGGCTTCTTTGAGAAGTCATTCATGAGAAGTTGGTGACTGTTAGGTCTTGGGTTCTACAATGCTATTATAGTGTTACCTCTTGGTTCTCTTTAGAAAGGAGTCTTGTTAACCAGCTCTCTGGTTTTTATTCTACGGAGTTACGTGAACTGAAAGTATATGTGGCTTTAGATACTGTGAACCTTGTTTTCTGTTTAGTCAGTATCTGCTTCAGTTGTTCAGACCCATGTTCTAAAGAAGAGCTCATATTGATGGTTCTACCATTGTTGGGTGTCCACGCGTCCACACACAATGTCAGGATTGATGATACTTTTGCTAAAAATGGGCGTGGTTAGAAACTAGCTGTGATTAAAATCTGCATGTCAGAAGGTAAGGGAACCTGCCTGCTCTTTGCTGTGCCACAGGTGAAGCGCACGCTGTTGGCAGATGCCTGGGCTTTTGCACTGCCATCGGCGTGTGGAGGTGACTTTGTTGGAATTGCCCACATTTGTGATGAGCAGAGTTGTGGTTTCGCATATGAGGAGAAATATTGAGGACCCTAAACTGAAAATGGGTGTCTGAGGGAGTGGTTCAAGTAAGTGGCTTCCCATGCCTAATTTGGGGATCGTTTTTCCGAATTGCTTTGACATGTCCTTTCTTTGACAGCTTTTTTTGTTTGCCATTGCTATAGCCTTCCTTTATGGGAGCTACCAGATCTCTTTCCTTCTGTGGGAGAATGTCCCATGAGCATTTTAAGATCTTTTGATGCAGTGAGCATGCAGTCCCAACTAATGTCGTTACTGGTGAATGTAGCATTGTTAAAGAAAATATAATAAATCTACACTTTGATTTACTGTACCTCTATCAAGAGCTTTTCGAATGGCTAAACATGTTACAGAGAAAGAGTTGTATCTGCAGAAAAGCTGGTCAGTATTTCTCGGTAGCTTTTCTGAAATTCAAGGTGCTACTTCTGCAGATGGTTTTCCTTATCGGGGAGCAGAGCACAGCAAGTAGAATTCCTCATTTCCTGGAGGCAGAATGGGTCAGAGATCTAAAAGGGCCAAATAGTGCTATCAGCAGTTCCTTTCTCAGGACAGTTGGTGGAATTTGGCAAATGCTTTATTGAAAATTGATATTATTATAGCACCAAGAGTTTGTCGGGGCATCTAATTTCTTATCCCAAGGCGTTTTTAGTTCGCTGTTGACTTAGCAGCGATTAGTTTGGTGGCAGACAGTTCCCCTTCCTTCCTCCCTTACTGTTTTTCCCTTGGAGCTCGAAGTTATTCTCTACTCTTAGGTATTGCTTTTACACCAAAGGCCTTCTGTATACCACGTCTTTAGATAAGATTCTGCTTTTCCAGTCAGTCCCCGGAATGTTTCTGTTGCAGTTAGTTGGTGGATTTTAGCAATAAGGAAGGGAAGCTGTGACATCAGAGTTACTGATGGAACACAGTTTGTGACAGCAGTTCCCTTGGTGTGTGCCATAGGGGAACAGGGCAATGAGCTCCCCTGTGCCTCAGCGCTCAGAAATTGAGGTCAGCCTTCCCTCTTCAGGGGGATTGTATCTTTCCCCTCTAGGTGGCATTGTTTTTTCATTTTCTCTTAATAAGAATCAAAATGTCTCCTTTGGTTTTTTCTTTCCCCCGTATAAAAGTAGTGGATAGTGTATTCAAAGGGGAATGAAACCTTTCCGGCCCCTTGGCACTTGGCAAGGTAGGGTCTTAAGCAGCCTGTGGATGGGACTCTCCGTAGGTTATAGCTGGACACTCTTAAGTGCCTCTCAGAGATGAGTAAGATTGTTCCACCACCGTGAGTCCAGTCTCGACCTTTTCACACCACAGTTTTTCTCTTTGTACCTCATAGTACCTCATAGTCTGTTAACCGTGGGGGAGCAACTTAAACTATAACTGCCTTGAGTAAGATATTAGAAGTTGTTATGCCCTTGGAGACCAAGCTCTGGGATTTTCATAAAGTGGGAGAAAATGGCGATTCAAAATAGCTTCGAATAGTGGCCAGCTCACTGGAGCGAGGGAAGGAGACTGTCGTGTGCCCACCTGGTCTTTGTAAGTCCACTGAGTTAATAGCCCTGCGTCTTTTGTTTTTGCACTATGTAATGCTTTTAATACCTGTTGATTCTGTTGTGCTTTGTGTAATAAATATTTTTATTTTGCCATTTTGTGGTGTCATTATTGGGGAAATAGGGAATTTTGTTTGTATACAGCAAAATCTCATTTCCTGTTTTGACATACGATCTTTGGTCTGATTTGGGGATGAAGAGAATAGCTTTTGCCATAGAAGTTGTTATATAGTCAAACAACAGTTTTTGATCTTTCCCCCCAGTTAGCTTTAGAGTCATTATATTTCATTTTTAGGTTCCTAATCCTGAAGTAAACTTCAAACATTTGCAGAATATTTTTTAACTGAATTGTGGAGGTTTCCCCCCCTTAGAGACCTTGAGAACTAGAGAGTAGAGAGAGCCTGCATGTCCGGAGTGGTTTCAGCAAGCCCCAGGCACGTGTGTGCAGAACTCTTCTGAGCCCATGATCATATCAGCTTGTCCACGCGCTTTGCTATTGAAGAGGTTTCACGTGGTGAGAGGACGGATTTGTCTCCAGTTTACAAAGAGGTGTCAGGTGAATTGTGTCAAGTGCCAAGGTACTGAGGGTTTGTCACAAAGTGCTCAGTGCTTAGCATCTGCTAGGGCAGTGGTTCTCAACCTTGGCTGCACATTAGAATCACCTGGGAATCTTTTTTAAATCCTGATTTCTGGGCCTCATCCTCCGGAAATGTTATGGGGTGGGGCCACAACATTAGTAACAAACAGAATTCCCGGAGGACGAGGCCCAGAAATCAGGATTTTAAAAGATTCCCAGGTGATTCTAATGTGCAGCCAAGGTTGAGAACCACTGTGCTAGGGACTGTAGCAGTGGTCCTTAAACTTTTGGGGATTATAGCCCCCTTTGAAAAGGGAATGACATTTAAGAAATCTCATAAAACACAACATTTTGTGTTCACTTTCAGGAGCTACATGGAAGCCACAGGTCTGTGGCCTTCAGGTTCTGTTCTTTGGAGGGATACCAGGAAGGTGAGCCTGCCCACAAAGCTTGCTGGCCCACGTGCCTTCAGAAGGCTGTTCCCTTAGCACTGAGCCCATTGAGATGCGTGAAGGTCTGGCCAGCTGTCCAGCGCTTATGGCCACACATAGTAGTTGCAGGTTGGTGCCCGCTGCACACTGTTGGAGGCACCCTTCCTCGGCTGCCGTGGGGATGGCACCACCTGGGCTCCTGGTGCTGCTTATGAGTTCACTCCGTGCGGACCTGGTACCTCTTGTGAAGCCGCAGCTGAGGAGATGCCGGCGCCCGAAAAGCCCAGGGAAGGAGTCAAGACTGAGCACAAGGATCATACTAATTTGAAGGTTGTGGGGCAGGATGGGTCGATGGTGCTGTTTAAGAGTCACAGCCTTAGCTGGTTTGCTCAGTGGATAGAGAATTGGCCCATGGACTGAAGAGTCCTGGGTTCAATTCCAGTCAAGGGCACAGGCCTTAGTTGCAGGCTCGATCCCTGGCCCCCGTTGGGGTGTATGGGGGAAGCAACGAATCGATGTGTCACGCTCACGTCAATGTTTCTCTCTGACTCCTCCTCCCTTCCACTCAAAGAAAAAAAAAAAGCCTGGCGAACATGGCTCAGTGATTGAGCATTGACCCAGGACCCAAGAGGTCACTGGTTCAATTCCTGGTCGGGGCACATGTCCGGGTTGTGGGTTGTAGGCTCAATCCCCAGTAGGAGGTGTTCAGGAGGCAGCCACTCAGTAATGTTTCTCTCATCAATGTTTCTATCCCTCTCCCTTCCTTTCTCTAAAAAAATCAATAAAAAAAGATTAAGAGGCACACACCATGTAGTTAACTAATGAAAGCCTATTGTGAAGGACAGGGTCTGTGGATGAGGCAGGTGGGATTCTGACTTGATGGGCAGGCAATCAATGAAGCAGACACAGTGCAGAGCTGAAGTGGAGGTGAAGATCCATTGTGTTCCAGCAGCAGACAGGAGGTGTCTGCTCCGAAAAGGGAACTGCTCCCTACTCCAGAGCTCGGTTCCTCCAGACAAGAAGAATCAATTAGAAAACTGCAGTCTGTTCCGCCACTTCCTGACCACGACTGCATAGCGTGCTTTCATCCTCCTCTTGCCCTTTCCTTTATTGCACATAAAGTGGCTGATGTGTGCGCACAAGCATGTGCATTTTTAAAACCAAATGGCCAATGGTATGTTTTGATCACCATCAAATGGAGATGGGATGGGGCAAAATACTGAAATACTGTTTCTGTGAAAACCCCCCCTCCCCCCACCTAGTGACATGCTCATTCAGCGCTTATCTTTATATCCAGTAAGTTATTTTGCTCAAAAAAAGAGCAACATAAAAATCCTTGCATACCTTGTTCAATTGGAGAATTTTAATGTTTCTTTTGTGTGTTGGTTCCCACTCGCCCCCAAGAGACCTTGAAAATGAGAGAATACAGAGGACCTGCATGATTTCTGGAGTGATTTAAGGCGAGCCCTCTCTAGGCCAAGTCTGCACTGAACTCATTGTAAAACCAAGGACAATTTTGTAATTAACTGTACAAAGCTGCTACATGTAGGGCAGTCTGCCTTCAGGGATAAATTACTATAAGAGAAATGGATCCTAGATAGTTTTCCCTTCAAGTCAAGCTTCTTGTGAGGATACATTTCTTGTTTAAAAGGAAAACAAAAAGAAATATGTAGTATATTCCTGTGTGAGGAGGCTCTGGGGGTGTGGTGGGGGGTGTGAGGACATAGCAGGGGTAGCATTTTAAAAATGAAAAGCAGGAGGAGCATTAGAGACAAGGATGAGGCCAGCTTCCTTGTCACAGCTCTGCCCGCATGGATGGCCTCTTTAAGGCACTTTTTAATGGTTCCAACTGCATAACATGTTTCCCGGGCTTTTGCATTCTCCTCACCTTGGGGCTGCGGATTTAGCATCTTTGTTGAAGGTGGTCTTCAGGCCCGAAAGGCAAGCTGAAACTAGTGACAGTAGACAAATTGCCTAGTAAGTATTTGCTAGAACTTGCACAAATCCAACCTCTAAAGGTGTAAAAAGAATTAGTGCTACTAGAGAGATTTCAGGTCATTACAGGCCTGGGGATCCAGGAAAAGCCTGGCTACAGACATCCCCAACCTTGAACTCGTTTGAGTAAGTTTTCCTTTTGCTTTCTTTCCTCCTCAAAATAAAGGACAGGAATGGAATTCTTTCAATGAGCCATGAGCCAGCGGTTCTCAACCTGTGGGTCGCGACCCCTGAAAATACATCCTGCGTATCAGCTATTTACATTACGATTCATAACAGTAGCAAAATTACAGTTATGAAGTAGCAACGAAAATAATTTTATGGTTGGGGGTCGCCACAACATGAGGAACTGTATTAAAGGGTCGCGGCATTAGGAAGGTTGAGAACCACTGATAGAGCTTGCTGGGTACTGGGAATCCCACAGGGAGTGAGGAACCTCCCTCCGGTTGCCTGTGGTCAGCAGTGGACTTAGGGACCAGACACTTTCCACGTGGACGGAGGAAGCAGCAGAGGAGAGGACTGCCTGCAGGAGAGAGGCTCGATGGGAGAAGGCTAAGTTCCGTGTCATGGAGGTAAGGACGAGGTTGGAGAAGCGACCAGAGATGGGGCTGGAGTGCTGAGGGGGCTGGCGGTGAGGGTGTGACATGCCAAGCTAATTAATTCGAACCTTCGGCAGTGGAGAACCACGGAAACCACGGAAGGATTCTAAGCAGGGGTGTGACGTGGCCTCATTTGCATGTTGAAAGGTCATTCTGGTTGTATGGTTAAGAATAGACTGGAGTGCTGGCCAGAACGATTTGGCTGTGCAGCTCTCTGAGCTGTAAATGATAGTCCTAAGGCCATGCCCGCGGGCCTGGGAAGAATAGTCATAGATACCATTGACTGAACACTTAGTAGGTACTGACTGAACACTTAGTAGGTGCTGACTTGCCATCTATTATTCCCTGTGGTGTTGAAGGCTTAGGGAAATGATTAACTTGTCCAAGGTCACTAAGAAGCACAGTCAGTCCATGGTCAAACCATCGTGTCTACGTCAAAAACCCCAAAGAAGGGGGTGTTTACCAGGAAACAGTCAGCAGAGCAGTGGTTCATAACTTGTGTGGGGTCAGGAGGCGGCTGCTCTGCTTCCTCTCTCCAGGGTAAGGGTATACACATGTCCCATGTTATTTGCAAACCCCAAAAACTTCTCTACCCCTAAATCCTCTGAGGACCCAGGTGAAGACCCCTGTTACAGAGCAGCAGCTCTCAACCCTCAGCATCAGAATCACTGGAGGGCGCTGCCCGCAGCCCGCTGGGCCCTGTTTCCAGCGGTTGCGCCAGTAGGTCTGGGTGGGCCCGAGCATCAGCATTCCTACTGGGTCCTCAGATGACTCAGGCTGGTGTTGCTGGCGGAGGAGCCACACTCAGCACCACTGTGTAGTCACACCATGATGGACAGCTAGGGGAGGGAGAGGAACAGTGGGACATTGCTAGAGACAAGGTCTTGGGATTAGGGCTGGGTTGTTTGGCTCTGCTGGACTCCGAGATGTCAGCTAGGCAAATCCTCACATGTTTCTGCCCACACAGAAAACCTTTCATGTGGAGAAAGGGGAGAGGAGTGAGCACCCATTTCAGATTTAGGGCAAAGCGTACAAAAAATATCAATGGAGAGCTAGTGACAGCGCCATGTCCCGAAACCCGTGTCTTTATTTTATAGCCAGATTCCACGAGGCAAAGTAAGGGCGTGGTCAAGATGTTTACAACAGTCTCATGGGTTTCGAATCTACTCAATTACATGCACCTGAACTCTATCAAGCCCACATCACTCAGGCACGTGGGGCCACGTGTTCAGACCACAGGTTCAAGCTTACAACTACAGCTGTTGGCTATAATTGTGCTGGGAGGGCTCTGCCCTCCAAGCTGGGACTTGCACGTGGCCATGAGAGGACTGTGCCCTCTCATTAGTCCGAGGCTTGAACCTTTCCAAACACTGTGCCGCTCTCCACAAATATCTTTATGTTTACATTGTCCTTACAGATCATCTTCAACACCCTCACTTGACAAAGAGGGGAAGTGATAAGCATTGCTTGGCTTAGGGACCATCTTGCCTCTTT